ACACTCACACTCACAGCCTATTAAACTGACCCCATGTAAGTCTTTGGACTGTGGGAGGAAGCCAGAGAGAACCCATGCAGACATGAGGTTCTCCACACAGACACGCTGACGATGTGACCCCAGAACCTTCTGTGACACAACAGTGCCAACAACCCCACGTTGCCCCTACCAGGCATCATTGGTTGTGCTATGAGAAATGTAGGATCTTGTGTTACTGAAGCTAAATTATTTAGTTTCAACCATTTGTGAAAAAACATTCTCTGTAAGACGTGTAATTTGATGGAAATGCATAACTGAGCTGTGAGCTCTTCATTAAGTGCAGAGAATCACAGAGAAAAGATGCAAATCATTTTTCTTAAGCTGCAGGATGTCTGCTGTTCTCGTGATGTCACTGCAATGTAAACCAAATATCACCCGTCTTTTCAATATAGTGTTGCAAATATATATTTATTTACTCCCCTTAGTCAAATTCAAATTCAAATTTTATTTGTCACGTACACAGTCATACACAGTACGATATGTAGTGAAATGCTTGGACAACTGCCTGTGACCTAAAGAAAACAAAAAAGGAAAAGGCTATGAATAAGATAGGAAATAAATATGAAAAATTAAAAAGGGTAAATTTAACTAGGAAGGAATAAAATATAAATTAAGGTTAAAAATGAAATAACTGTACAACACAAATTAGTTGCCACTTATTCCTAAAATAGCTTCACAGGAGAACTTTCCCACAGTCAGTGTTGTTGTGTTCAATGAATCTCGTTTGAAAGGACAGAAAAAAGGCAAAAATGTAACAAGATGCAGGTTTACAATTTTATTCTCACTAAAACACATTTGAAACCTGTCAGTCGCACAAAACACCGACGTAATAAGAAAGCGTAAAAGTCAGCTGATCGCTAGCTTTAGCTTCAGCTGCCACAGAAGTGATATCATATGAAACAACTTTCATGTCCTGTATCGAGCATCAGCTTTGAGGTAGAACACACAGAATCCTTTATCATCATATTTCCCAGCAATTATTGAAACACTTCTTCTTTCATTACAAAGAAACAACAACTCTGGACCCTTAACGTTTCACCTTTATTGTACAAAACTGTGGATCATGTTTGGCGATTCAGTCTTCCAGCTTCCGCCTCCTTCACTGTTCCTACAGAGTCCGCCTCATAAGCTCAACTACAAATACAAAAAGTTCCAATTTGAAATGTGACAATGCATTCTTTAGCTCCTTGTTTCCCTGAATCTCTACAAGAGGTGGAGACATAAAAGAGACATAAATAACAAATGATAAATGCAGGAGCGGTCGGGGGCTGAAAGGTTACTGAGAGCAACGCTCCACCCGTCTGACTTCAGTTAAAGGCACACGAGCTTAGTTGAGAGCATAGTTGAACTGGTTGGAGAACTTGTCGTGTTTTCTCTTGTCGGCCTTATTCATCACCTGAGCCACTCGTCTCAGGGAACTCCTGAAGGGAGGGAGAACAGAGCAGGGAGGAAATGAGAAGGATTGATGGGAAAAATCCAAAGAAACAACAACTTTAAGCCCAGGAGCTAAAAGCCATTCTGCTCATCTCTAGCTCCATATTTCTACTCTTAGACTGTGATACTTGCCTCCACAGTTTA